TGACTAGTTGACTAATCGTGGCAGCCCTACTATATTCAAAATGTTAAATGACCTGAGTCAAACCTTCCCTGTAACTCTTTAAGGCGTGGGACATATTTTAAATTGTCCCTTGCCAGCTAAGCCATATATTAAATTATAAATGCCTGTGAGTGTAGTATACATAAGTAAAACACAAAAATTGTATGTTCTCGCCATTTATGACCATTTAATACCAGACATAAATGTCTAAAATATGTCTGTCAACGTTTTTCAATACTTCTCTGTGCTGACTGATTTATTTCATGTTCCTTAAACGTCGCTTAACCAAAACCTAAATTAGTCAGCACAGCGATCATTCATCCCAGCCACAAGTTTATGGTTATTCCACAAACCAGGAACTGCATCACTGTTTAGTGGACGAGCGCAGACAGACAGATGTGGCATCTCCAGAAATTTTGTTTTAAATATTTCAGCTGAAGCTTTGGGAAGCTGAGACAGGGTTTTTTTCTACATTTCTTGGGTGCTGTGGCCAAAGTAGCTTAAGAGTGTGCTTTTTTTTACCTTTTTTTTTTTTTTTAAGAACTTCTGGTTTCCCATCTTGGACAAATGTCCAAGAAAACTATTTGTATGTTTGTAGCAACAGAGTGATGGAAGTTGAGACACTGATATTGAAATATCCTCATCAGCTGTAACTTGTCTTGTACCAGCTAAGTGGATTCAATCTGACCGCTGAAGCAGGCTGTGTTCCAGCATGACATGGGAGTGTGAAGAAAACACAGGAGTACCGTACTTAACTGGATAACATGAGTGAATTACACAGCGTGTAATGCAGGCATATGGTTGGTACAATGCTATGGTATCATGGCTGTTATTACCTTGTGGTAGACCTCTTGCAGAGAGCTCTGTGCTCCCTCAGATGCAGAACCGATGGCCCGAGCATCACACTGCACAAAAGTTCCTGATGGGTCCATGTGATACCTGTATTACACACACACAAAAAAACGATACATGTGTTTAAGCAAAGCAAGCAAATATCCCTTAAATTTTAAAATAATAAACAATTATCTTGACATACAGCTGAGGTCCTTTTTCATCAACTCCCCCAAACAGAAGCGCTACACCAAAAGGTCGACTCTGTTTAAAACAAAGCAAAGACACAAATAGAAGTTAAACATCAAACTTTTTAGGTCTGCATCTCAAAATTAAAACACAAACACTGGCTGAGTGACTCACCATGGCACCAGGGTCTGCATCTTCCTCACCAAACTGCAGCGCCAGGTTGGACACAGCCTGAGTCACACTCTCCACTGTCATCGTCTCATTGTAAGTGAACCAGTGGTTCTGAAACAGAGCACATACAGGTTAACCGCAGATAAACACAGCACTCTAAATATGCCTTATACAGCGCTGTGCTCTGAAATCATACCTGTGTTTCCACTCTTGCTTTGTCGATAAGAGTCTTGGCATCAGCTATCAAGCCGCTCATGGCACAGCCTAAGACGTGAAAAGAAAGAAAACTAAATTGCATTTATCTTTCACAAGCTGTGGCCTAAAGCAAGACTCTTCACCATCAAAGTGAGACAAACGAGATGAAATTTCGTGTAATCCGAAGGAAAGCTTTACTGTGCAAGAATGTGGATGATTAAAATTAGTCTGAAACAGCTACAACAACAGTGTGAAAATTAAAGTTGAGGACTTGATTTGCTTAGCTTTGCGAGACAGTGTTCTGACTAATTTAAGCCACTTATACGAAAGAGTTTTTGCTGAAGCAAAGGAAAGAGAATCATTTCTCGAGGTGTTTTTTTTTTAAAAAGATGAAAATCTCCCTTAAACAGAGGGCTGCAAAAAAAAAAAACCCCAAACAAAACAAAAAAACAACACACTGACAATCACAAAATATTTGGGGGAAAAAAAAGAAAAGAGAACTTTAAGATATTTTCACCAATCTTTACATGGAGTAGCCCAGTGATATTCTCTGGTTTAAAGTACTATTAATGGCACTTTGTTTACTTAAAATGTTTATTTATCTATTTTCTGCTTTACAGTCTTGCAAAGGGACCAAATAATAAAGAGATGATTCTTTCAAAAATAATTTCATTAACAGCTTTAATTTGGTCTATATTGTCACACAAACTATATCAGCCAAAAAACTAAATCTAATAATATTTGGTTTAAGCAATGCTTGGTTTAAATGGCTCTGATTTAATTGCAAAAATATTTAAAATCAGTGCTCTGAAGTAAATCAGAGAGGGTCTGGCTGGAATCTTTTTTAAGATTTAATGAATTCACATGGAATGACTCTTTAGGTTGTTTCAATCTATTGATCTAGACGGTTTCAGTTGCTTTTGTCCACATCTCTCTTTTTTGTAAGGGAATAAAAGTTTTTTGAAAATTGAAGTGTACATTCAATTAATAATAATATTTTTTGGGCTAAAAAGAAAATAATAAATATTTTTGCTTTTCTTTTTCTTTAACAATATTGCACTGGATTTCTGTGTAAAAAAAACAAAAACAATAACATGCATTTCAAGTCCAATTTTAATCAAAGAATCAATTAACTGGTTTAGCTGACTGGATATCTTTTCTCATTACAAAAAACAGCCAGTAATATTATGTCAACAAAAGCCTTAATCCTTTTTCATGGTCCATTTCCACTTACCAATGTGACTATCAATCTCCACGATCTTCTCAATGCTGTTGGGCTCCATCAGGGGAGAGGTGATCCTCTTCTCCACAGCCAGACATACCCCTTCTGAAGTCTGGATACCGATGGCTGTGGAGCCCAACTAGAAGAGCAAAGCCAGGCCAAAGAAAATAGATGAGCTTGAATATAATCACTTTGTTTAATAACCGCGCAGAAATAGTTAAAGATTCCTGTGAAGTACTCACTTTTATTGCCTCTATGGCATATTCAACCTGGAACAATCTTCCCTCAGGAGAAAATGTGTTCACACCTCTGGAAAACAGAAATTAAAGTTTAGAAATTTTAACAACGATTAATATATTAAAGATAGTTGTAAATGTTGTTTTTCGCTATTATTATTTGCACGTCTATTACCTCATAACAATAAAGTAAATAAACGCTCAGCTTGAAAAGGATGGCATACCGAAAGTGAAAGCAAACCAACTTTTTCCTAACATTGATTATTAGCTGCTAGCTGATACAAGCTGTAGAGACACTGTTACAATAAGGGTTTAACGAAATCAGTATTTTCTATATTTTCTTTCGGCGTTTAACCGGGCTTTCTTTCTCGGGTAGACAATAAAACACCTGTGTGCTCTCGTTCGTTTGTTCATTTCCCTCTGTTAAGCGCTCAATAAATGACAAAGCAGTTTGTGCTGCACCTACCTGTCATATTCCGATCTGGTCAAAAACATCTTTTAACGTTAAACGCAGGATCTAGAAAAAGATAGATGCGTTATTTGTGTAAGATTTCTGTACAGTACCAACAAGTTAAAGCAAATATTGAGAGCGGATTCTAGTTTTTGGTTTCAAGTTTGCTGTGACACCGGGTTATCTGCTAGCTGCAGTTAGCGGTGATACCGAGCAGGCGTGCTAGCTAACAGCGCAACCAATTACACAATTAACTGCATATTAGACACAAATATACATCAAACATCAAAATTCCATCAGTTTAACAATGTCCGGGGAAATATATGTGTACAATTTCCCAGTATTATTCAAAATAACTTCACTTGCTCGGCTCGTTTACCTTCAGCCAAAAACCCTTCAATGAGTTCGCTTGTTTCAGAGGAAGCGTTTGGTGTGTTACATCCAAACGCGCCGGTTGTTAGCAATTCCCTAACTAACGTTCCGCGTCTCCAAGTCAAAATATACTTCATTAAATTAACTTTATTTATGTACTCTGAATTTAAACGCTTTTGATTTTGTGGTTGTTATTATGTGTTTTTACTTGTAAAATTCAAAAACAAGAAAGCACATTACAATACTGGTATTTGTGAAAAATTAGGAAAAATAAAGCTGGGTAATGTTGCCTGAAAACACGATGTTGTTTCCTACAATCATAATTTTTCTTTTTGTCTGAAGACAAATTGTTAATGAAATTTACTGAAGACAAATAATTGTTCCAATTCGTGCAAATCAGAATAACAAGAATACAACTTAACAAAAACAGACAAGGGTAATGATCGTTGGGTGCCATGCGTTTACGTACATGTATTATGCAACATTACACGACTGGTGAGAACAGTGTCCCATATGGTCTAGCGGTTAGGATTCCTGGTTTTCACCCAGGCGGCCCGGGTTCGACTCCCGGTATGGGAACGCCTCTTTTGTGACGATGGGATTTTAATGTCTTTCACGTGAATGTCGAACTTGGCCTTCGTAGTGACAAAATGGCACAATGGGCTCCAAAACACAGTATAGTTTATTAAATTATTGTGGTCACTTGAGAGCGGAACCAACCGCTGGGTGTCGTTATTGAGCTGAATTAGAAGAGACGATGACCTGTTGATTTGTCTGATTTCTTCATCAGGTTAAATACCCCAAAATATAAAATATTTTGCGCCTATCGAGATTAGTCGTCGTTAAGTTATCTGCTATGCTCTTGGAAATGATTGTTTGGCTTACTATGCTGAGTGCTACTGGAAAAATAGTGTGGCTTTTGAAATGTGCTCTAATACGAATACCAATATGTCACCACTGCAAAAGTAATGATGTACAGCTATTAACACAACTTAGTGGAAAAGTAAGAGAATGTAAGTGTAAAAACAAAAGTCTCTCTTGAGATTTTTTATTGTAGGCTAATTAGTCGGGGGTTTTGTGAGAGGAGGTTTACTTGGCGGTGTCGGGTTTCATTTCCCGGCTGATTTCAGTTCCGCTCGGTTCTGTTTTGGTTCTGTGGTGAAGCTCTAACTTAATGCTGTGGCAGCGAAGGTCTCTCCAAACTCTGAAATGTGACTAACCTTGACGGGTTGCTGTTGCGAACAGACAGGCTGGACATATTTTCTCATGCTCAGGGCGGACTGCCAGGTGCAGAACACTGACTTATCGGCTTAAAACTGAAAAGATGAAAACCAAGAGGGACGACATCATTTTTCAGACTCTCCTCTTGATCCACAGTAAGTAGGCTGGAGTGAAGCACTGTTTTGCTTTTGTTGCAAGCGTGGATAGACTTTGCATTCGTGAGTTAAAGTATTTTAGAAGTTGGACTCAGCAGTGAAGAACACTCTAAAGAAATTAAAAATATATTTTACTAAGTAACTTTTCCTCGTTTTTCCTTTTGTTCTGAGGTGAAAGAACGTTTGAAAGATTTGTTAAAGATTTGTTTGTTTGTTTCTATTGTCGTTAAGGTAGATTGATGTATTGATTTTAAAACCAGACTTCCGTCCACACTTACAGCGCAGATACATTCTTCGGAGATGAGAAACACTGAGGGAGGGTTAATTTCAATCAGGCCTAACTGCACAGTACAAAAACAAAGCCCAAAAGGGTTTCCAGATAGCAATATATATTAGTTTACACCGGCAGTAAATTGCCTACACACACACACATGCACACACATACATGCATTTTCAGATGCAGGGACCTACAGATTTGGTCTGAATATCTGTTTAAGTGATTAACCCTTTTGCTTATTTCTACTGTTTTTTTGTTTTGTTTTTTCAGTCCCTGTGGCCTGCTTCTTCACTGCAGGTAGGTTTCTCCTTGTGTGTGTGCACATGTGATCTATGTGTCCATGAGTACTAAAAATGTTACACCCTGTCTGTCCTTTGTCAGTGTCATGTCAGGCTGAGAGCAGCAGCGTGGTTGTGGCAGGTTATAATGTGAGCTCCCGCGCTGGTTCAAAGCTGGTGCTGCAGTGTGTGAGCAGCCGGATGGTGTGGACCAGGGACAGGGTGAGAGACAGGCAGAGGGTGGTCCACTGGGATATGTACCGGGCTTATCCGGACTACGCCATGGAAAGGGTAGTGGACATGTTCTCAGCAGGAGAACAAAGGATGTACAACTCCTACAATCTGGGCAGGGTTGGTCTCAACCCGACAGCCTTCAAAGATGGAAACTTCTCCCTGGTTATCAAAGGTCACACACACATACAGACGCATTCTGTTTTTGTCTTTCATGTAACTGGCCAACATTACTTTGTTGGTGTGTCTCACTGTGGCTTTGCTTGTTATGTTCTTATAACAAATATTTCAGATCACATATTAAGTATGTAGACAAATATTTTAAAAGAAAGGTGAATCATTGCCACTGAAATGCAGTTAAAATCAAAGACCATCTAGATATTTGTTAGGGTAGAAAGCCAAATGCATCCTGACACACTCCCCTCACAATCAGATATCATCCCCTTATCACCTCTCTTCCATGCAGAGGTATGGCTAAATTGCATCAGTGTGACCACTATACTGTTACAGGGCAACCATGTCTTCTAATAGAGGCAGTCGGTCTGGCTATGATTAAAATCATTAAAGCTCTGTGTGGAAATTTTTCAAGTGATTTAGTTCGGTATTTGTCTCTGATTTCCCATCAGTGCGCAACTGGTCCCCATTGCCACCCCATTACCAAAAACTAAAATGCCCAGTTTACATAGATTACCATCCAACACCAAATCTCAAACACAGAGTCAACAAAGGTTTCACAGATACCTAAATGCCACACAAAGGAATAAATATGAAGCCTCTATAAACTACATTACTTGATAATGAAAAAAAATGCCATTAAATCTAAAAGGTTTTGGAAAAAGGTTTGCTTTAATATGAAGTTTGCACTTCTGTTTCCTAAGTGGCCATGCTTGATTTGCTGTACTTCTACATGTGATGACAGATGTGACGATGAATGACCGAGGTCTGTACTCCTGCAACCTCCACCATCTCTACTGCAACTTTTACGAGACAGTCAGAGTCCAGCTCAATGTCACTAAATCACGTATGTATCACACTATATCAGGTATCAGCACGTGAGCTGAAGTATATTAGTATTAATCCACAAACCCCTTTGACTTGTTTTTGCCACAAAGGCCGTAAAGAACAGCGATACTGGAATGGGCATAATGCCGTGTTCGTGGTGCTGCTTGGGAGCACTGCAGTGCTGCCGTGCACCAACCGACGTAGTGTGTGGACAGACTGGAGCGACCAGGAGGAGGATCAGCAGGTGTTTCTACTTGTTTCCCGAGACAGATCAAGAGCTAACATTTGTTTTTAACATTACAATTGACATGTACATGTCCTGGTTAATCTGCTTTGGATTATTTCTTTGAACTGTTTTTCCAGGGTGTAACAATTGTACAGCATACATGTTTAATGACTTTAATGACAAGAACTGAGTGCAAATCACTCTTTTTGGCAGAAATGGTAGAGGTTATTTAATTGGTTGATTGAGATATCTTTTAAGCATAGTCCTCAAATTTCAGTGAGGTGAGTTCGGGAATTTGGGAAGGCCATTCCAGTTGCTTAATGTTAATCTACTTTATTTATTCCAAAACCAGTTTTGACGTGTTTGGGATCATTTTCCTGTTGAAACACCGAACTGTGTCCAAGTTTCAACCATTTAGCTGATGATTTGAGGTGAATTTGAAGAATTTGGAGGCAATCCTCCTTCTTTCTTATTCCATCTACTTTGTACAATGTACCGGTACCACTAGCAGCAACACAGCCCCAGAGCATGATGGCCACCACCGTGCTTGACAGTTGGTACAATGTTCTTAGGTTTGAAAGCCTTACCTTTAACTCTTCAACCATCCCGCTTCTCATTATATCCAAAGAGTTTAATGTTTGTCTCATCTGACCGTCTTATTTTTCTCCAGAAGGCATTTGACTGGTCCATATGGACAGCTGCAAAAAAAGAGTTTATTTTGGAGCAGGAGCTTCCTTCTTGGTCGGCACCCTCTCTGTACATGGTGATTTAAAATTCACTTCACCATGGACAGTGATGCTGGTCTTCCAGCAGTTTCCAGTTAATGTCAGGCTTGATGCTTGGTGATTCCTGGGTTGTTCCAGAACATCCTCACCAATTTCCTCTCATCAGAGGGAAACTGTCTTTGCCCAAACTGACCCAAATTGCCTTTGCCAAGACAGTTTGGGTCTTTGCCCACATCTTGGCAAATTAATAATGCATCCAAATAACTTGTACATACATAAAGTTGTTTTAAGTGATGATTTTGGATTAAACAGTTGTTTTAGAAATGGCTCCAAGAGACCGTACTTGTGTGAATCTACAGTTCTCCTTGTTAGATTTTCACTGAGTTCCTTGGAGTTTCCTGTTGTTCTGAGTATTGGTCAGTCCAATGGATGCTGCCAAACAAATCCTTTTTATGTTGCCAAAGATAAACTATCAGTTGTCATCAATCATGATCACAAACAAAAAGTTAAACAAGGGGTTAATAGGCCTTGGCATTGTTAAAAGACATTGTAGAACTTTCAGCACTACTTATTAAAAGATTGAATTAAGTGTGTGTTGACTCGAGGATTTGAGAAAATCCTAAATAAATTCAGAACTTGTGCACCCTGTTCTTGTTGTTTTGTTTTTTGTTTTAATCATTAAAGATGTATGCTGTACAATCATTCCACCCTGGAAAAGAAATCATTAAAAGTCCAAAATTATGATTGCATTCATGCTCATAATTAACATGTGTAAATGTTTGACTACAATTGTACATTAACTGATATATCTGGCTCTTTAGGTGGTTCACTGGGACCGTCAGGCTCCAGGAATTTCCCATGACCGAGCTGACCGGCTTGTGGACCTGTACGCCTCTGGGGAGCAGCGGAGCTATGGACCTCTGTTCCTTCAGAGGAAGATGAATATCAGCAATCACGCCTTCTCCGAAGGAGACTTCTCACTCACCATATCTGACCTGCAGGTGCGTATGTGTGAGCTTTTTAAAAGAGAGCTACTTAAACAAAAGTGGTATAGGCTCACTTCTCATGAGGTTCATCTGTGCTTTAACAAATCTGTGGTCCAATGCTCTTGGCATAAAAGCGTCTGCAAAAGCGTGTATTTGTGTGTATACATGTAAACAGTGTTTCCAGAACAGATGAAACTCTCATTAGTAATGCATCTCTTTTCAAGTCAAACTTTATTGCTCCATTGGGAAAAATGAGGTTTTAAACCACAATATGTTGGGCAACCAATGCAGTTTTAAAAAACCCAACAGCAACAGTTATTGCCATTTGTTATAATAGCAAGCAGATCTCATAAATCATAACATTTCATTTATATACAGGCTCGGGAAACTTTAGGGAGCCGTTTTCTGGTCAGCTACAAAAAACCATAGGCAGATGTTTTCAAAATTAACACAATTTTTTTTCTCAGATATCAGTTGTGTGTAACGGCACAACTCTGATGCATGAAAACAGATGTGTTTAACATGGGCCTAATTTTTTTCTTTTCTCTGTCTTACATACAGCTGTGGTCAGGCATTTACATGCACTCATGAATGCTTTTAATGCTTTCTTTAAACTGTCCTGTGTTTCCAGCGTTTAATGACTGTACAACATGTAAAATCTTCAATAACTTGAAAAAAAAATAAGATTTTGATGCACAGTTTAAATTTATTTCGGATTTTCTTGAATTCACAGAGTGCCCTTAAAGGAGCTAAAACAGCTTGTTTCATACAGAGCATGAACTGAGGGGGTGTTTGAAAAAATTTGTATCAACAATTCACTTCTGACTCTTGCACAAATGTATTTTTGACAAATCCCAGATGTTGCTAAATTCTGCTGTTCAACTCTGTGGTGAAAGTAAACAGGTTTGCCTGTTAGTCTATTGAGCAATATTGTTTTTTTTAGTCTTGCACATGTAGGACCCAAGGAATTGATAATAATTTATGATTTTGTCATACATTTTTTTCCCTTTCTGGTGATTTGTAGTTAGTAGCATTGTTCAGCTGTTATTCTCACCATTATAAAGCCCAAAGATCCTTAGCTGACTACCCCAGTGTTTCGATTGCACTTTGGATCTGATGTAATGACCATCATGATCATTGTCAAGTAACGCTTTTAATTCATGGCCAAATTTGTGTCAGGAAACAATTTTTAAGGAGGTGGCGCAGGGAGAAAAGGCTAAGGTATGCCAAATTATAAAAGAACAGGGTTAGGAGAGGGGCACAACAGTGAGTATCTACAGCCATCTGTAAAACCTGGTACAGCCTCTGTCATGGTTTCCTGCTGCATTTCAGCCAGTGGTGTTGGGAATCTTGTCAAAGACCCACAGATGTTATTGGACGGATCCATGATGCAATACATCTGGAAAGCATGACAATTATTCTAAACACACTGACGATGCAGTAAAAACATACCTGGATAGAAAAACGCCCAATGCAACACTATCAGTCATGGCCCAGACCTCAACATTATTGAAGCAGTGTTGGATCATTGTGGCCGAGAATAGAACAAAATTCTGGAGAGCTATTCCTGAGAACTACTTTAAAAAATGACCCAAAAAAAAGCTTTCTTTAGAGAGTTCAGGCTGTGTTGAAGAATAATGGTGGTCATACTAAATATTGACTTTCAAGCTTATTATTATTATGTACAAACTGTTTTTGTCTTATGGTAAATGGCCTGTATTTGTATAGCGCTTTACTAGTCCCTAAGGACCCCAAAGCACTTTACACAACCAGTCA